GCATTCAGATTGGAAAGGAAAAACTGAAAAGTCCTATATGTTCAGATGACACACTCTTGTATATAGGAATCCACTAAAAAACTGTTAGTAAGTTCAGCAAGGTGGCGAGGGATGAGATCAATATACAAAAAATTGTGCCCACTTTGTATGAATACTCTCTCTCTCTTACATGGATGCTGGTAACTAAAATATCTGTTAAAGTATGTTAGATGAATATGCTCCCTGCATTATGCCCTTTACAGCACTTATCTGTACCAAAAATCACCTTACTGGTTTATATGCTTGTCTGTCTCTCTCCATTGCAATTCAAGTCCCACAAGAGTAGGGACATCATCTGTCTTCTTCCCAGTGTATTCCTGCTGCTTAGCAATGTGGCTGGCACATGGCAGATGCTCAAAAATTATTTGTTGACTTCTCAATTAACAGAGTATCCTTGGTATAAGCAACAATACTTCTTAAGCACCATTATTAAGTCTCACTGTTAGGTACTGGAGACACAAGAATGAAACCTGCACTCCATGAACAGGAGCACTAGACGAACAAATAACATAATGTGATAAGGATAATGTTGGCATTCTTGCTTTAATTACCTTGAATTTTTTCTGCTCTTAAGCTTATGAATTTACTTCTCAGCTCCCTTCTGCCTAGACACATCCCATACTTTATTCAGTTCAGACTAAGGTAAGCGTGCATGTACCATATTGTATTTAATATGGTGAATTGCTAAGGTACTTAAATATTAGAGAACCTATGTCTTACTTTTTCGTCAGAATATATATTATCATAGGGATTGCAACTCTAGGTACTCTGGTTTAGAAAAACCCAAGTTCAATACTATGCCCCATCTCCCTCAATATATAAATTCATAGTCACAGAGTACTCATAAAGCCTGGGATGGTGATGAGGATTCGGAGCTCTTAATCTATTGAGGGAGGTAGGTAAGTAAAGAGAGAAATACAACTTAGTGCAGAAGGTACTGGAGAGAGCTCTACGCAGGGTATTATGCTCCAAAAACGACTAAAGAAATAAAAGGCACTTTGTGTGAGGGACAGCCCTACCCCAGCTTGATATTCAAATGATGGGCCTGTTTTTTTTTTTTAACATGGGCATTACTGCATAAACCATACCTCAGGGAAAGATGCGGGTACTCAGAGACTTGAAAGAGTTAAATTCTCAACAAATATGTCAATCAAGTAGTAAAAAAAAAAAAATCCCCCTTTTTCCCCATTGCCTGCATACTGAAACTACCCTTCCATTTTTGGAAAGAAGAGAAACAGTACTGGAAAGCTTTTGAACTTATTTTCTAAGTAGCTTATTTTACTAAACAATCAAAACCATCAAGTAGCTAAAACATATCCATTTTCAACCTTGAGTCCTTTGGCATATTATACCCCTCAAGTCCTCCCTGGAGAATAACAGGCTCACTTCTTCCAGGAAGACAGCATGGTGCTGTGGGAAAGGGTGGGATTTGGAGTCAGAAGACCTCTTTCTGTTCACATCCCACTCTGTCACTGGTTGTGTATCTGTGAGTCATCTAACCATTCTGAACCTGTCTCCACCCTTAGAAAATAGAGATATCATCTGCCTAATTCATCTCAGACAGATGAAGTGAGTACCAAGTAAGACAATCGATGCCAGATTGTTTTTACAAACTACAAAGCAATATATAAGGACGATGATCATATCTGTAGGCCATTGCTTAGCAGGTGCCTGGTACGAATGTACTCTGTAAATATTTGTGAAATAAATTAATATCACAGATCAATGAGAACTCTAGTTGGTTACACCTTAGAAAGCGGTGGAAGCTACTGGCCAAAAACTGCCCTTTGTTTCTTTGACTTCAATTTCTATTGATATTGAGAGCTACTGGCTTTATTATCTGGCCAAGAGAAGACTATAAATTATGGATGAAAAATTAAAAGCATAGGCTTATGCATGGGGGAAGGAAAAAGTAAAAGAATATAATTCCAGCAAAATACCTCCTATTCCATCCCTTGCTTTTATAGATAAAAAAAAAAAAGGTGTTTCCAGGTAGAGCTCCACCAAGTTCAAGCCACAGTTCCTATATAGATTGCTAAGCGGGTCTAAGAATGCTCTTTTTTGGTTTAATTGAGACCAAATTTCACTAAGCATCTCTGACAACAGTGATTTACAATGAGGATGATATAGGAGGTTGACTGCAAGGCCCTCTGGTGGCCTGAAGATTTTTCCGTATCTGCAATTACAAAATGAAAAGAAAGCCCAGCCATTTTCTATCAAATAGGAGGTTATTTATAAATTAAAAAGTCAACAAAGCAGAGGAGCTAGAGTGTATTATGCTAAGTGAAATAAGTCAGTCAGAGAAAGACAAATACCATATGATTTCACTCATCGGGAATTTAAGAAACAAAACAGATGAACATGGGGGGGGAAGGGAGGCAAACCATAAAACAGACCTTTTTTTTTTTTAAGATTTTATTTATTTATTTATTTGTCAGAGAGAGAGAGAAAACGAGGAGGGGTAGCCGCAGGCAGAGGGAGAAGCAGGCTCCCTGCTGAGCAGGAGCCCGATGACGGACTTGATCCCAGGACTCTGGGATCATAACCTGAGCCAAAGGCAGCTGTTTAACTGACTGAGCCATGCAGGCGCCCAAACAGACTCTTAACTATACAGAACACACTGAGGGTTGTTGGAGGGAGATGGGTGGGGGATGCGCTAAATGGGTGATGGGGATAAAGGAAGGCACTTAAGATGAGCACCGGGTGATGTTATGAGACCCCAGCCCAATGTAACCCCACGTTTTGTTTTGTTTTTTTAAAGATTTTATTTATTTATTTGACAGAGAGAGACACAGCGAGAGCAGGAACACAAGCAGGGGGAGTGGGAGAGGGAGAAGCAGGCTCCCCGTGGAGCAGGGAGCCCGATGTGGGGCTCGATCCCAGGACGCTGGGACCATGACCCGAGCCGAAGGCAGACGCTTAACGACTGAGCCACCCAGGCGCCCCATGTAACCCCATGTTTATGGTAATTCACAAAATGATGAACATCAAGTCCCTGCCCTCTGGAATTTGCCATCTAACAAAGGCACAGGGACTAGGATGCAGACGTAGAAGCAAAGGTCGAAGGGGAGAACTATAGAAAGTACTTGGGCTCGGGGCACGTGGGTGGCTCAGCCAGTTAAGCGTCTGCCTTCAGCTCAGGTCATGAACCCAGGGTCCTGGGATCGAGCCCCATGTCAGGCTCCCTGCTCAGTGGGGAATCTGCTTCTCCCTCTCCCTCTGCCCGAAAGTACATGGGCTTTGGAATCTTTGTAGGATTAAATAATATACGCAAAGCATCTACTATGGCATCTGGTATATAGTAGATGCTCAATAAATGGTAGCTTTTATTATTGTACTTTAGTATGTGATATTTAAGTGATCTCAGCCACCTGCTGGAAGAAATCTAATTTTCAGCTCTAAACTCCTCTAGAACTTTTGATACACCTCATTTAATTCTGTATTTCATAGAAGAATTAAAAGCAAAAGCATCTAAAGCCCACCCCGTGGCATACAGTACTTCTTCCCTGTCATACTCTGAATGGAATTTCTCCTGCAGCTTGGCAAAGTAGAGGTGAAGGGAGAAATAAAGTGTTTACATAGTCCAAAGTGACAATGAACATAAAGGGATAGGTGAAGTTTTAATTTAATAACATAATGTCACAGTAGGCATAACTTTTGACCCAGTAACTGGATTCCTGAACATTTTTCTTAACAAAATAATCAGAAAAGGGCAAAAAGATGCATATATTAAGGATCTTGTCACATTGTTTATAATAGCAAAAAATTGGAAACAACCTAAAAGTCCATCAATAGGAGACTAAGGATACATACACACAGTACAATTCTAGGAAGAACTAAAATTATGATGCAGATATTTGACATTAAATTATGTGAGATGAAATTTTACAGAATTTGGCTGTTCGATTTTATTTTTAAACCCCCCTACCTATAATATACCTGTGATTTCATTTAAAAAAAAAACAAAACAAAAAAACCTATCTAGGGACACATGAGTGGCTCAGTTGGTTAAGCATCTCTTTGATTTCAGCTTGGGTTGTGATATTGGGGTTGTAGGATTGAGCCCCAAACGGGCTCTGTGCTCAGCACGGAGTCTACTTATCTCTCTCCCTCTGTTCCTCCCCCTGCTCATGTATGCTCTCTTTCTCTCAAATAAATAAAATCTTAAAAAAAAATCTTAAAAAAAACCCTATCTAAACATATCTGTGTGTATATATATATATACATGTACATATTTAAACAAGTCTGAAAATAGATATACTAAAATATTAGCAGTGATTTCTAGACATTGGGAATATAGGTATGTATACACACATATATAGGAATATAACTTTATTCTCTTCATTCTTTTCTATATTCTGAAATTTTTATGATGACTATGTATTATTTTTATAAGAAAAAACAAAAGCTAAAAGAAAAAATTTAAACCAAAATAGAAAATACAGTTATCTCCAAGCAGTACAAGCCAGTGAAAGATTGTTGGATAGAGTATCAGGAGGTCTGAATTCCTATTTCTGACGTCCAATCCTTTGCTATGTGATCTAAGCCAGATACGTGTCTCAATTTCCCCATCTATACAGTAAATAAGTAATTTAAATAAATCTCACAATAGAGAATGAGAATGAATGCGTTAGGAAAAAAAATCTGTAAATGTCATACCTACTTGCAAATTAAAAAACAAAAGACTTCCTCAATTTTTAAATTCCCCTTAAGTCTTCACTGCTTTTATTTATTTATTTATTTATTTATTTATTTATTTATTTATTTATTTATTT